GCAATTGTTATCTGTTTATAGCTGAAGCAATTTTAATTTGACATTTAGTACTATTATTATTATAAGTGACTCATTACTAAAAGGCCCTGCAAATAAGACTTGTGGTTTTGATCAACAACCTAAGGAGCTTTAAGTGCAACATCTTGACTTCTTTGATAAATTAGGCACATCAGACATTGGAAAATGACTTGAATGCTCAGTCTCTGAAAGTATGTGATGAGTTTGAGAGGAAAATATTAAAAATATGAGAAAGGTTTTAGCTTTGAAAAATGTTATGAAGAAACAATTGATCTTTGAAAGAAGGTTGCCTTAAAAAGTCAAAAAATAAAAAAGATGTACTTGCTATCTGGCTTTCCTTCTTAATTTCTGCCAGTATCTTAGAGATGTTCCCAACTTTATCCATTCTTAGATTCTACAAAACAAATTCAAGGCACATTTTTTTCAATATTCACTTTGCCATCTATGATTTCTATGCTGCTTGGGTACATGGTTACATGAGAGAGAGAGAGAGAGAGAGAGAGAGAGAGAGAGAGGGAGGGAGGGAGGGAGGGAGGGAGAGAGGGAGAGAGAGAGAGAGAGAGAGAGAGAGAGAGAGAGAGAGAGAGAGTAAATGTATAAATATGTATGTATGTATAAATACACACACACACACACACACACACACACACACACACACCAGTGTAATGGATTGCCCCTGGTTCAGACCAGTTCGCAAGAACCGGTAGTAAAACCGGTGGGAGACTCCGCCCACCGACCCTGAGGTCATCAGGAAGCATCTGCACATGCACAGAAGCTCACGGCCCCATTGCAAATCGGTAGTAAAGATAAGTAGAACCCATCCCTGACCACACACATACTATGAAAGATAGGACTTTTATACTTTCCACTGCTTACTTCATCTCTGAAATGCAAGATATCACATTTTTCTCATGCAAATTATATCAGAATTCTCTTTCCTTTTCCATCAGATTGTATGGGAGCTAATATAATAAAATGCAGTAAGATTTTTCTTTGTAACCTAAGAAAGTAAACTAAGACAAATTTTGCTTCACAGACTGCCATTGAACAGGCATTTGTATATGGAAGTAAATAAATGAAACGTATATTCGTCTTCATTCGTGCAATAAATAAAGCTGTGCAATTTTCAGTCTACAGAAAAGACATTCGGAACATGTGAAAACACAAACATAGCATACATCTGCAACGCTTTCAAGCAGTTGTGCCTTTCCCTGGGCATCACAGAGCAACAGTGTAATCCCACCCCCAACTGTTAGCCAGGTCTTGCCTCTAGTCTACTCTAGAGGTTGCCTAGTGTTGCCACAGGGTATATCTATTGTTTGTTTCTTTCTTTGTTTTTTGTTTTGTCAACAAGTACAAGGAAACAAGTAACAGTATAGACATAGACACAGACACATGAAAAAAATTGGCACAAATAAAAGGATATAAATAGGCAAAACATAGCCATAAACACATAGAATGATTACATATAAATGGGGACAGTAGGACAGGGACGGTAGGCACGCTGTTGCTCTTATGCACGCTCCCTTAGGGATCTCTTAAGAAACATGAAAGGTCCACGGTAGACAGTTTAAGGTAAAAGGTATGGGGATTGTGTGGCCTGTATTACCATTACTTCTTGGTGAAGAAATAAACATGGAACTGTTATCTATCTTTGTACCTTGTTTCCCCCGAAATAAGACATCCCCTGATAATAAGTCCAATCGGGCTTTTGAGCGCATGGCAATAAGGCCAAGTGCTTATTTCAGGGTTCAAAAAATATAAGACAGGGTCATATTTTCGGGGAAACACGGTACATATTGTCTATGTTCTCTGTGTGATGCTAGAGTACTGTACGAAAATAGGGCAAGGAACAAAGGGCTATGATTATGTCATGGGTGAGCTTGTTATCTTCTGCAAATGGTGTATCCTTTTTGGGTAATTATGACCACAAAAAACATTTGGTTTATAGAGTTGCAGGTAGGTGCTATGATATATTTCCACATTATCCAAAACACACAGGAAAAGTGAATCTTAGTGCTGTAGTCCGGTAGAATCTAGTTTCAGTAAGAACGATCTGATAGTGCCTAAAATATATATATTAGATTTTATTAAAGCTGACTAAATGTAATCATGTTATTTTGAGAATTACATTCTGGAAGGTATTAGGGAAAATACATGAGTGCAGGAGTACAATAAGGAATACTACCATTGCCTTTGGTTCTATTGTGCAAATTGTGTAATTGTTTAAAACCCCCAGAAGCATAGAAAGGACTATCTTAAAATATAAGGATGAATGCGTGTGATATACCATCAATCTGTCAAGTTGTGATGACTGTTTCCATGAAGAAATATTCTTTGTCTAACATTTTGTCATGAATTACAATTTCAGAGTAAGAAAAATCTAAGGTGGTAGATTCATTAATGCATGGTTGTGCGTGGAATTTTATCACAGAAAATAAATGTAATTTCACACTATTTTAAATGCAATAGTTTCCACTAGAAATAATTCATTTATGCAGTGCATAGAATCATTAGTAATTCTATATTGCAGAATATTAAGTTGATGAACATTAATATGTGGATCTGAGAACAGAGAGTTGCATACTTGCAACCAAGTTTTATTTTAGGTGATAAAACGAATATTCATGTTCCTATCTTAAATGGGATGGATTGTATTAAGCATTATTTCAATGATTCGTAGCATACAAAGAAAATACAAAAGTAAATAAGGGGGGGGGGAAGGAAAGAGAAAAGCGGAGGAAATACTTTTGTATTTTCTTTGTATGCTACACTATAGACTAATAAAATTGGTATTTTAAAAAAATTCAATGATTCGTCTAGGAAAAGAATCAAACTTTATGTTAACAAAACCAGAAGAAGGCCCAACTGCTTAGATGAATGATTGATTGCAGTCATTTCTGGGATTTTTTTAAAAAAATAGAGGATCAAATTCTTGGCTTTCCATCTCTTTGGGCAAGTGTTCAAACTGTTTAGAGTAAAGGGCATGTTTGTCTGGACAAATCAGGTCTTTCTTTGTTCTGAGAATTCTCTGTATTCCATTGGGTTGGCCAGGGGCAGGATTTTTATTATTATTATTTGATTAAAGTGCTGGGCATAAATCCCAGTGATCTAGTGACATGAAGGCACTTCTTTGATCCATCCCAGGCTGTAAAACATGCTCAGTTCAAAAGCAAATAAGCTACTGAATGTTCAGCCAATTTATGTAGACTACCTTACCTCAGGCAGCTCCAAGAGACTGGAGTGCTTCTTTATGATAGAAATGAATGGAATATTATATAGCTTGAGGAATATGTTTTTAGGTCTTTAACCATTCCAGCCTTTCTAAATGCCTTTAAAAAAAAGAAAACACCAAATATTTGTATGACTACAGGGTGTGATTGTATATACGTAGGTCATACAGAGTCACATTGATCCACATATATACGGCAAACAGTATCTTATTTTAAGTCAACACAAGATGCATTATTTTTGGTGAAATATGTTTAACCTATGTTCCTACTAAGTTATTAATGAAAAATCATTTGTTTCAAAAGATCGTGACCCACATAGATTCCACAGAGTTCTCTACAACCGTAGTTGTTAACATTCTTAAAATTGGAAGGGGCAGAGAATCACTTTGCATAAAGAGGTCACCGAATGCTGTTTTTCTTTAAATTTAAAAACTCATTGTTCAGTTTCCAAATAACATTACTGAAAGGTAAAGTAAAAGGTAAAGGTTTCCCCTGTCCAGTTGTGTCTGGCGCTAGGAGGTAGTGCTCATCTCTGTTTCTTAGCTGAGGGAGCCAGCATTGTCTGAAGACATTTCTGTGGTAAATATGACCAACATGATTGTATGCTGAGGCTCACAGAATGCTGTACCTTCTCATTGAAGTGGTATTGAACTATTTGCATTTGCATGCTTTCGAACTGCTAGGTGGGCAGGAGCTGAAGCAAGTTGTAGGTGCTCACCCCATCCTGCAGCACTCGGGTCTCAAACCCGGGCTCTCAGCTCTCCAGCTGACAAACTCAGCATCTTTAACCACTGAGCCACCACGCCCCGATTGAAAAGTAGGATAAAAATAATTACAATTCAAAATAGGTTTGAGTGCTCTTGGCAGGAAATCTAGATTTGCCTTTGCAATACATGGTCTCCTCATGTCCCTAGGGCTAGTGACCACTTATAGTTGTCATGATGAATTCAGGAAAGGATCCCTGAAATAAAAAGAAGTGTAAAGGTACAACCACTTTACAGGTCTTTTCAGATGGACATTTTTCCTGTATCCAATATATTTTGGTGAAATATGTTTAACCTATGTCCGCAACTATTCGTTTAATGATTATTCAAAGTTCCAACAACAATGAAAACAGTTACTTATGACCAATTTTTTACAATTACGACTTTTGTAGCATTCCCATGGTCATGAAAAGAAAAAAAGCAATGGGTGGAAACTAATCAAGGAGAGAAGCAATTTAGAAATAAGGAGAAATTTCCTGACAGTTAGAACAATTAATAAGTGGAACAACTTGCCTCCAGAAGTTGTGAATGCTCCAACACTGGAAATTTTTAAGAAGTTATTGGATAACCATTTGTCTAAAATGGTGTAGGGTTTCCTACCTGGGCAGGGGGTTGGACTAGAAGACCTCCAAAGTCCCTTCCAACTCTGTTACTGTTAAACATTATTTTCATGCATCGTTGTGCCGACATTCCTCAGTTCAGGGAACCTTCACTCCTTCGATTTGTTCTACTGAGTGCTTGTCAAATATTTATCTCCCTCTGCAGTATGGTTCCACCCCCTCCTTCTGCGCATGCTCAGTCTTTTTCACTCAGTTGACTCAACAGGTCTAGAGTGCTTTTTGTTCTACAGATAATCTATATAATTCATTATTTATTGTTATTATTATTATAAATCATTAGAGAAAGATGTAATTAAAAATATAGTTCACCGGAGTGCTTCATATGAAAATGCTGTATCTGATCACATCTGTGAATCTCTCAACAGGTTGAGTGGCTGAAAAATGAAGAGGTGATAGATCCTGTTGAAGATAGAAATTTTTATATCACTATTGACCACAATCTGATCATAAAGCAGGCACGTCTCTCTGATACAGCCAATTATACTTGTGTTGCCAAAAATATTGTGGCAAAAAGGAAGAGCACTACTGCTGCTGTCATCGTCTATGGTAAGAAAGTTACCAGGTTACATATTTGGGTGATATATAGATTTTAGTCTATGTATAAACTAAATTGAATCCATGCAGGCATGAGAAATTTTAATCCATGGACTTCTAAAGTGGGTTGAATTCTACTTTATTCTGCTCTGTATATTTAGTTGCAGCCTAGAAACAATATATAGGCAATTTATAATGAAAGTAGAATGTCCTTCTTTTTGTAGTTAATTAAAACAAGTTGGTCTGAGGCGGAAAAAAACTCTACAGACTCCCCTCATTTTACTGGAATGTTAGCCCAACTTCCCCTGTCCATGCTTTCAAATTTCACTGTGTTTATCAAAAGCTTAAAACCAAGGCAGCTTGAATAATAGAGCCTTACAGTTTTCAATCTGCCTGCAATTAGAACCAGAACATATATTATACTTAGCCTTTGAGATCAGTTTGGCATTCTTCCTGTTGAGTTGTAGGTAGAGCAAGGAAAACGAGAGAGATGGAGGTAGGAAAAAGGAGATAAATAACTATTGCCTGATTGCACTTATTCTCATTTTCTCCATCCACAAAGAACATCCAAAGTTCTCAATCTGTTGAAGTGTCATAAAGAATGATTATTCCTGCGTTTTCCATCACTTTTCATTCAATTTCGTGATAAAGAATAGGCTTTCAATATTTCTTTCAAAGGAGAACAGAATTTCATCATTGGGTACTTGCACTTATTTTTTTACAAGAATGGGTATGTAGGAAGTCTATGCCTTCCATCTTTCAGTGATCAAGTATTTTTCCAGCAGTCTGTAACTATTAGCTTCCTAGCTTCAATTAAATCCCTATAAAGAAAGAATTTCTCCCATGTTTTAAAAAATAATTTTTATTAAACAGTTTTTAAAAAGCAAACAAAAAACAAACAAAAACAGATATTTACATCTTCTTTTCAACATCTTCGCATCAGTAATCCATATTTATACATTTTCTCTTTCTTATCTTAATATATCTTTTATACATATATTTCTAGTATATCATATATACTATATTTTCTTAACCTAAATATTTTATTTACATTTAATATAAACAGGTACCTAGTTTTCTTTCCACATTTGTTTCCATATTCCGCCACCTAATTTAACCATTGTTTAATTTTCTTTTTCCCCCTCCCTTTTTTCCCCCCTTTCTCCAACCATTTATACCATTTCTCCCAGACTAAGTAGTATTCTGTTTCATCTTTTTCTTGTATCTCCTTTGTGAGCTTATCCATTTCCACACACTCCATAATTTTTCTAATCACCTTGTCTTCTGGTGGTATATCATTGTTTTTCCAGTTTTGGGTGAAAATTATTTGTGCTGCTGTAATTATGTGAATAATTAAGTATCTTATTTCTTTTTCAAATGACACAGTGATTATTCCCAGTAAGAAAGTTTCTGGCCTCATTTCTATTTGTTGATTTATAATTTATAATCTCTTTTTTTAAAACCTTGAACAGGTAGGTAGATAGCCAGGGAATCCTTCCAAATGATGAAAGTGTAGAAAGCAAGAGCAGCAATAGTATTCTTCCCCACTATCAACGATGATAAAGAGCAGAGGTGGTATTCAGCAGGTTCTGACCAGTTCTGGAGAACCAGTAGCGGAAATTTTGAGTAGTTCGGAGAACTGGTAAATACCACCTCTGACTGGCCCCGCCCCATCTATTCTCTGCCCCCTAAGTTCCAGCTGATCTGGAGGAAATGGGGATTTTGCAGTAAGCTTCCCCTGGAGTGGGGAGGGAATGGAGATTTTACAGTATCCTTCCCCTGCCACCTACCAAGCCACGCCCACCAAACCATGCCATGCCCACCAAGCCATGCCCACAGAACTAGTTGTAAAATTTTTTGAATCCCACAACTGATAAAGAGTCATCTCAAGAGCCTCAAAGCCTTTTAATCTTTTAGAGAAATGCTTGATACATAAAGCTGTTTTCCTAAACTATACATCTTTTTTTAAAAAAATAATATATTTGACATTTTAAATTTCAGAGTAAAAGCTTCATCAGATGCGTTCTGTAATAACATAGCATTTTTTTCTATATATTTTTTTAGTCATTAAGTTGGTGCAAAATGTATGAATTATATTATTGCATATATCACCTGAGATGGAAATAAAACACTCTGCTGAAAGAACCTAAATCAGTTGGATAACCATATTAATTGCAGTGCATTTAGCTGAGGAATTGGCCTGGATGTAAAAATGCAGAAGGGAAATTCTAGGAAATGCAGGGGGTAATAGATTTGTGAAGCTGTAATCCTTGCACAGATAAATTGTAGGTATTATTTTCTAAAATGTAAACCTGTGAAACTGGTTTAATGAGTAGAATTTAATGGGTTATTGCCACAAAAAGTGAAACATTGAATTTCATTTAAAGAAGATTCCATCTACCGTATAAAGTAGAATATCATCAAATAGTAATTGATCCAGGAGAATTCATAAAGTTTTAGAGATTAATCCAGATTAATCTATGAAACAGAAAATTGACTAGGTAACTCTCTTTTGACACACACCATACTCTCTTTGGTTTCTAAATATTTAAGCAGTTAAGAACTTCTTAAATATTTAAGAAGTTAGAACCACCTGCCACTATCGCTCCTGGATCGGGCGATCTGGTCCAAACCAGGAGCATTTCACCCCTGGTGTATACCTTCTTGGTGTAAGAATACCCTGAAACTTTAAAAAGCTTAATAGAAAAAGGGGATTCTATTACTGGCCTTCCTAAGGAGTATATTAGTGGAAATTGAACAGTCTTAATGGCCATTATGAAGTGACTATCTGAGTAAAAGAATATCTCACTTGGGCAGTAAGGAAAGGCTCTTATTGGTTATATGTATCTTTTTCTTAGACTTGAAATCATCTGCTAATATGCAATAATTTTTAATATTTGTGTTGAGAATGACATATACTCTGAATTGGCCAGTGGCATGTCAAGAAAAGTGAATGAAGCAACACCAGTGCCCATAGCTTGCCAATTGCCCAAGCAATACCCCTCTTGATGTGCTCCATGCTGGAGAAATTCCTAAGAACCTGCTCTTCCTTTTCCTAAGCTCACTTAATTACTTATGATAAATAAGATTTGATTCATATAGCAGGGCCTGGTTCCTTGGCAGTTTATATTTTTGGTTCTCTATTATTAAAGTTTGTGCTAGTATATTATTTAGTTGGTGTGGAGGTCATCCAAAATTTTTAGATGGTTCTCATTAAAATATGTATTTATTTTACTTCAACCTATACAGAAGCCCTGAAATTGTATAGTGAGAGTAGGCAATACAGGCAAATTGTATGTCAGTTTATCCATCCAGGACAGGAGTCTGCAACCTTAAACACTCAAAGAGCCATTTGGACCCATTTCCCACAGAAAAGAAAACACTGGGAGCCACAAAACCTTCCCGTGCCTGACTATTTCCACAAAACTAGCATATGTAGTTGAATTAAACGTTCTGTTTTCTTCTGAAACTTCTTTTCTTGGATTTATCCATGGTTGGCCTACCGGGGCGGATGTCGCACATTGGCAGTTGTGATGCATATTTTGAGTGACAGGGAGCCACAGCAGAGGGGTGAAAGAGCCACATGCGGCTCCAGAAGAAAGTTGATCTATCATCATGAGCCTTATTTTCATAACAATCTTTCAGATAGTTGTAATATGCACTAGGTGAAGCTCTCCCTGAAGAATATTTGAAGACTTCAGCTAGTACAGGAATTATTGATCACAGTATTGTCTTGCCAGCATTCCAGAAACTCATCATTAGCTATATCATTTGAACCAACTACATTGGCTTTCCATTTCTCTTAAACCCATTTAAAAATACTATTATTATTTTTTTACCTTGGGGATAGTTTATTTAAATAAAGTATCCCCTCCTACTCTTTTTTTCAGATAACTTATTAGAAAGACAACTCTACACTAATGGGTATAAAGAAGAACCCTTATGAAATGTGTATACCGCCTCTATCCAATTTGATTATAGGCAATGTGTATGTTTGTATTTATGTGTGTGTGTGTGTATTTATGTTTGTATGTATGTCTGCAATAATATAGAAAACAGTACATCAGTAAACTAAATTTTGTACTGATGTTTCTGGATTCGATCTTGAAAGACTTTTGCAAAAGCCAATCTGTACAACTTGCCACAAAACTTGAAGAATAAGCCTTCCATAAGAGGAAAACTCAGGACACGCAGATACTCAGGACACCACTTATTGCACCTCTTAGTAGGTGGATATCCTGTGCAGGCTCTGTCTGATTATCCAAATAGGGCAGGCTTTTCTAAGAGGCATCTTTTTCCTAAGAGAGCCAAAGAGTCCTGAATTTTCAACATGCAGAAACTAGTTTTGTCCAGATTTTAATCGCATTTGGTTATACATTAAGGGTGGAGAGAGTACCTTTGTTGTGATATTACCAGGGGTGAAATCCAGCAGGTTCTGACAGGTTCTGGAGAACCGGTAGCAGAAATTTTGAGCAGTTCAGAGAACCGACAAATACCACCTCTGGTTGGCCCCAGAGTAGGGAGGGAATGGGGATTTTGCAGTATCTTTCCCCTGGAGTGGGGTGGGAATGGAGATTTTTCAATATAGTTCTCCCAGGAGTGGGGATGGAATGGGGATTTTGCAGTATTCTTTTCCTGGAGTGGGGTGGTAATGGAGATTTTGCAATAACCTTCCCCCAGGAGTGGGAGGGAATGGGGATTTTGCAGTATCCTTCCCCTGGAGTGGGGTGGGAATGGAGATTTGGCAGTATCCTTCCCCTGCCCCGCCCAACAAGACACGCCCATAGAACCGGTAGTAAAAAAAAATTGAATTTCATCACTGGATATTACTGTTTCTTTTATTATCCACTTTTGAAATCCAAGCAAGCATAAAAGAAATATATAATCTTCCCTTTTTCACACACACAAAAATGTTTAATTCATAGAAACGCTTGGAAGCCTATAGGCTTCATAAATTGTCAGTCCTTCATTTAAGTCATTTTCCTACCTTCCTTACTTCTCAGTCAATGGCGGATGGTCAACTTGGACAGAGTGGTCAGTATGTAACAGCCGTTGCGGAAAAGGCTTTCAGAAGCGTACAAGAACATGTACCAATCCAGCACCACTCAATGGCGGAACCTTCTGTGAAGGCCAAAATTTGCAGAAAATAGCTTGTACCACATTATGTCCAGGTACGTTGTATCACTACAATGCGATATTATCTAGAATAAGTCTTCTTTTCTTTTCATTTGTGGTAATGGGGGATGAAAATGATAACTCCTTACTTTTAATTTTAAAGTGAACTCTATTATGCCATTCAGATACAAATAAGATGAATAATTAGCACTATTATTATGCAATGTTTGCCTCTCATTGCAGTTGTTATTCTGAACACTTACATAATGAGTCAAGATTTAGACCCTTGGGATCCTAAGCCTTGGATCTGTTAAAAACTCTGCATTTAAATGATTTCATGTATTAATACGCTTACATTTATTAAGGCAAAGATAAGATTATTTTTTTTACTAAAAGTAAAAATATTATCTGAAGGAGATGGATTATTGTATTTATTGTAAACTTCCCAGTCACTATGAAGACGGTTGGCATATAAATGTAATGAATACATGAACGAATACATACATAAAATTATCATGTTATTATCATTGTTGTAAAATAACACAATTTTCACATTAAAAACAAAAACCATGCAGTCTCTTAAGAATATGTTTCAGAATGTTTTTGTCTGCCATCTTATTCACTAAGATGGGTAAAACCTATCCTATTCATTTTAGATGGATTAGAAAATTATTTTAGTTCCTTCCAAGGACAAAAAGTTCAAATAAAGCTCACGCCTGATTTGTCCAGCTCAAAACCTGATTTGCCCTTTAAACCAACAAAACATTTTCTCTATCATCAACTACGTTCCTTTATCTATTCGGCAATAGTGTTCTAAATAGTATTAATATAATGATTGAAAGAAAACCTATTTCATTCCCCCTCCCTATCTTTCTATTGCACTTGACATCAGTTAAACTTTCCCTTGAAACATTACAAATTCAAGGTTCCATTTTACTGCATGCTTCTCAACAATACAACATTACATCGAAGTAAGGGATAAAATATAGATTTTAAAGGACAAAAGCACATAACAATGCAAGCAACTTCAAAATTTGTGTCTATTATCTGTAAGAATTTGTTGCGGATCTGTTGAATTCTGTCTGAATCTATTATTTTAGTAGGGAATATTTTGGGAAATCAATATGGTTAATAGAAATTCACCAAGCATATATTTATTTTAGGTATCTGTATCAGATCAGAGGAGAAATAGGTGGCTGGATAGCACCTCCCTAGCCCAATGTCAAACCAAAACACCATGTTGGGATGTAGGGAAGTTATCTATTTTAAGTTTTTATAATATACCAAATGAACAAAGAATTTATAGCTTTTACTGCATAGAATTCAAAGTGCTTTTTAGATAGATAGATAGATAGATAGATAGATAGATAGATAGATAGATAGATATTAAACGTTATATTTATATAATTCCCCACCCAAGTGAAAGTTCAAGTCCCTGACCAGCACCCTCATGTCCATCTCATAGTCCAATCATCCACCGTCCAAACTGAAGACATCCAACTCCAGGTGCCAGTGCATTACTTCCTTGACTCTCTGAGAAAGGAATGTTATTTTGACTTCCTATCATCTACATTCTATGCAATCCCCCCTCCCATTTTCCCACAGAAGAAGATGTGGCAGGCCTGAAGGCCCAAACGTAAAAGATGGCTTCCAGGTCTGACAGAGACATTAACATGCATTATAGGGAAAGGGTGCTATTTGGTGACAAAAATCAACTAGAGTTGCTGTGTTTTTTTTTTCCTGCACAGATTAGGCAATGGAGAATAAATCAATAAGTTTAAAATCAAAGTAGGGTTTCAACAAACTGACAGCATTTTTTACTTTGTGAAACCTATTAATATTTTTGTTAGAATCTCCATCTCCATATGATCAGTGAAACAGAATACTCTGTTAAAATCTGAAATAAACTCCTTTTCAAGTATGAGTTCTGCATAGGTCATACTGCAGTATGTTGGACTCATAGCTTTCTATTACTCTGGTAATATCATTTCTTTTTGACCATCATACTTGCAGGATTATCCTTGATTTTGCTAAAGGAAACCCCTAGAAAGTTGATACATAGATTTGAACATGGGAAGGAATATTGCTTCTGCAATAAGGTATGCCTATTGCTGACCAAGAATGGAGATATATAATTCTTTATATATCTTAAATATATTTAATACATTTATTTTAAGAAATTTTAAGAAATAATATCCCATCATTGGTATGATTTAATGCAGTATTTTGATTAGAACACAATATTAAACTGCAGACGTTCTATCGTGATTTCTTCATGTGTAGTAGGTAGAATTACAAAAATCTTCGAATCTTTACTGACACAATAGGACATTTCTAATTTACTTACTTACAGCATTTCCTGATGTCACTGAAGAAAATAGGTGAATCAGAATTTCCATCCCTACTCATGTTTAGTGAACTAAAACATTTGCATGGCAATTTATTGATTGTTATTACGTAAGCCGTGTTTTCTCAACCTCAGCAATATGTTGACTTCAACTCCCAGAATTCCCCAGGCAGCCAGTTGAAGTCCACGTGTCTTAATATTCCTGAGGTTGAGAAACACTGATGTATACAGTTTGGCTTAGTAAATCATATGATCTCCTAGTGGCACCATTTCTAATGACAGCATCAGTTCTTCGATTTACTGTATCTCTGCTTCTACTGCATGCTAGAGGAATGATTTAAGGAGAAAACATATCAAAAACTGAACATCTTTCACTCATGCTTCTTTCAGTAAGTGCACAGAACCAAAAACAGAAATTTGGATCAATATAGTTCTGTATTTCTGAAGGGTTTTAAAACAAAAGCTCTATAGCTTCCTCTGGTGGATGGTTGATTGGTTTTACAGCATATTGCAAAGAGTTGAACTAGGTAATTCTTATGGTTTTTCTGCAGTTCTGTGATTGGCAGTAGGCTAAAAAAGATTTCATCTGACATAGACTCTATAGGCAGATTTTATCCTAGGATTTCAACATTGCATTCCAATAAATGAAGCTGCTACTTATATACAAACGATCTGAGCAGATTTGAGTTGAAATTTATCACTTTGGCTAAGAAGAAGGGCAGAGGAGAGGAGAGGAGAGGAAATAAGGAAAGGAAAGGAAGGGGAAAGGAAAGGAAAGGAGAGGAAAGGAAAGGAAAGGAAAGGAAAGGAAAGGAAAGGAAAGGAAAGAATGGCACTTTTATTATCTGTATTTTCAGTAAGCAGACTCCTTACAGAGTCTCATGTAAAATATATACTTTTTTTTTAATCTGGGTATTTTCTATTTCTTCCACTCCCACCTCATTTTGTCCTTATATTTTGCCTTTACATTTTTCCATTTTCTTATGACAGTGGATGGGAGGTGGACAGCATGGAGTAAATGGTCTACCTGTGGAACAGAATGTACCCACTGGCGCAGGAGGGGCTGCACCGCACCAGCACCCAGGAACGGCGGCAGAGACTGTGAGGGCCTTGTCTTGCAGTCCAAGAACTGCACAGATGGGCTGTGTATGCAGAGTAAGTGGAAGTACCCTAATGCTGCTTTGTTGACATTGCCATTTGGGATGGACAGACAGAGTGAAACAGTTTAGGGCTCTAGCCTTCTCTTGATATTTGAAGAAAGAAAGAATTCATGTAACTCTGTACTGGAATTAATTTAAACAAAATTCTCCATTGCAGAGGAACAAACTCACCTTTAAAAGGTTTGGCATAGCTTGGCAGAAATTAGTCATGTCCTGTGCTCTTCAAATCCCTTTTTCGGTGTGTTTGGATTATAGCTTCCTGCTAGTTTGAGTATGGAAGGAATTGACCTTCAGATGTCCCTCAAAATTCCAACAGAATTAGTACAGTCAATCGTTCGTGTTGGGTCGTGACATCTAAAGCCCTCCGTCTATTGATTTACTCAGCCTGGCATTTAAGCTAGGAAAGATGTTTTTATGAGAAGCAAAATATCCTCTTTATCTTGTTGTTCTTGACTGTAGTTGGCACCTGACAAAAAAAGTACTAGCTGTATTGTGAATAGGTGGCTCTGTGGCTTTGCATGTGTTCATTCATAAGTCCATATTATCATTTTTCTCATTGCTCTCTTCCATATTTTAAAAATGAAGGAAAACATAAACCTTTCTGATACCGCAATCCTATTGCAAATCTGTTCAATAGTAAATGCAGTTTCATTCTGAAGATGAATTGCACATGTTTAGCACCCTTATTCTTCAGCGTATATTTTATATATCTCTGTCTGTCTGTCTGTCTGTCTGTCTGTCTGTCTGTCTGTCTGTCTGTCTAGCTAGCTAGCTACCCTGTTTCCCCCAAAATAAGACATCCCCTGATAATAAGCCCAATCGGGCTTTTGAGTGCATGGCAATAAGGCCAAGCGCTTATTTCAGGGTTCAAAAAATATAAGACAGGGTCTTATTTTCGGGGAAACAAGTATCTATCTATCTATCTATCTATCTATCTATCTATCTATCTATCTATCCATCTATCTTAGATTTTTGGAGCCGGGAGCAGGGGATAGCAAGAGCAACATCCCAAAATATCTGAGAATTATGAAATGTATAGTAGTATTATATCTATTTCACACATTAGTTTGTGATGGAAAACAGGATAACAATCCTTTAGATAGAAAGGATGCCAAATTTCATTGAAAAAGAGTTAGTTTCTGCTTAAACATATAGGTGCATATGGATTTTTTAAAGGAAATATGATTATGTTATTATCATCTTGTTAAGTTTTTTTCTTCTTAATTAGTTGTGTCTTTACATACAGTAAAATACTGAGGAATCAACAATGGTAAACATAGAATTTGAAAACATGCATACAGTTGCATTTGGCGATTCTGTGTACTTCCCTGGAAAGTACTTGAATAAAATTGTATTTATTTTACTCGTTAATGATATTTGCAGGCTAGCCACTTAGAGCAACTCAGAAGAAGCGTGCAGATTAAAAACATAAAAATCAATAACAATCAAAACTAAAGACAAGAGAAAATGGAGAAAAAAACAAATTCTGTAACTTGAAAACCACCATGTAATGAGCTCACAGCATTCCTTAGCCCAATGTCTGGGGAAAGAGTCATTCTGAAAGAAATTAGGGTTAGAACTGTTCAGCTATCTGGGAGAATTCTGTTTCAAAATGCAAATACTGAAGCATGCCAACTCTATCAGATCTTATAGGATAGGCAAAACCATGGGAGAAAGGTGATACTTTAAATAATAAGGCTGCATACCGTGGACAACTTAATACAGTATATGACAACCAGTATCCTGAATTGAACCTAGTTCATGTTCCAAAAGTTGTAGATGAACACACTTTGGCATGTCTTGCCACCATGTTTTGGATCAGCTGAAACTTCAGAGTGGTCTTCAAAAACTATCCCAGGTACAGGATATTCTGGTAACCCAGATGAGAAGTGACTAATGAGAGGGCCTCATAATCCAAGAATGGATATAATTGGCATACAAAGGTGTTCCTGGACATAGCTGCCACTTGTTCTTCAAGCAGGAGCTGTGAGTCCAAGCAAATCCCCAAATTGCATACAAATTATATTTATATTTGCCTATAAATAAGTTTTGGATTCTATTTTAGATTGTGTATATCAGGGCTGTCAAACACAATTTCATTGAGGGCTGCATTAGGGTTGTGTTTGACCTTGGGGGGCCAGGGTGGGCGTGGCCAGGGTGGGTATGGCCAGCTCAACATCATATGTGTTGGGGGCACTTGTGGTGGCCCAAGCGGTCCGTCAGCGAAAACAGGCTCCCGAGCTCCGTTTTCAACTGTGATGGCCTCCTGCAACCCTCTGCCAGTGAAAAAGGAACCCGGGAGGGCTGCCCATGGCCCTCCTGACCTCTGTTTTCATTGGCAGAGGCTCTGCTGGCCAGTCCTTCGCTGTTTCCACGGCAGCCCCACAAGCCAGATCTAAGCACCCCACGGGCTGGATCCAGTGCCTGGGCCTTGAGTATGACACCCCTAGTGTACATTAATAATTTGCACAAATGTAAAGGAAGAATTATTGCTTATTAAGAAACATATCATTGTTTATGTTCTCTTATAGTCTTTAGTCATACAAATTATGAAAGTTTTTGAAATATTACAACAATGAACACATTTCAGATAATTCCTTTACACCTTTGCTCCTTTTTTATGTTCAAGGTATTGTAAAGAAAAAAACAATCAGGCTCATAATTCATATTCATTTCAAAGTGTTCTTCTGATGTTGATAGCCATTTTATTTTGCATTTCACCAATATAAAGGAAGGAAAGGAATCTCTAGAAAGGAAGACAACAATTAGATGATTTTCAAAAGTGTCAAACTTTGGTAATATTAGATGGAGAAAAAAAGTCTGACTTTTATAATACGGCAAATTAGGCATCACTTCAATACAGCTAGTCCTCGATTTACAACAGTTCATTTAGTGGCCATTCAAAGTTACAATGGCACTGACAAAAGTGACATGACTATTTTACACAGTTACAACCTTTGCAGCATCCCCATTATCATGTGATGAAAATTCAGATACTTGGCAACTGACAGATTTATGACCTTTGCAGTGTCCCAGTCATGTGATAACCTTTTGCATCCTTCTGACAAGCAAAGCCAACCCAGGGGTGTCTACAGACTATAATAAAAAAAAAGTTAAAATATCATCTCTGCATCTCAGATAAAAAACAAGTGGATCGTCTATTGCATGGCTGTCAAACTCGTGGCCCGCAATCTGGATCCGTCACGTGCTGGCCATGCCGATGCCTGGTTTAGCGAAGGCGAAAGAAGTCCCAATACGTCACATGACGCCACTGTGACGACCTGAGTTTGTCACCCCTGTTCTATTGCAACATTGCAGCCATCATCTTGACTTTTTAATCACTCCTTAATGAGACCTCTAAAAGTTTTGATTTGCCACCCACAGTTGCTCCCCCTTCCACTTTTCATATCTACCAATATAGATATCACTTCAAGACAGGTGATTAACTAAATAGAGGCTATTCTTTTCAGCCACAGAGTGCAATTCTGCCTAGAGACAAAATAAACACTGCCTTTAATGCGTAACATGCTGGGACTTTTTTCCTGAATAAGAAACCAAAAAACCCCCATTGAAGCAAATGAAGGGGTCTTTTTTGCTTGCAGAATAAAGCACCAGCCTACTTCATCTCCCATGGGTTTCCCAAACAAATTTCACTAAATATGGTACATTAAAAGTAATATGTAATTTGCTACACTGCATGCATTATTATTAGATTAATCAAAGTCAAACTAAAGCTAGATTATAATCTTGAGCTAAGCAATGGTTTGTTTAATGCCTTAATATTCACATGTAACAAGAAGCCATACATATCAGCATGTCTAGGTGATTGTGAATTTATCTAATTATTTATTATTCCACCTAGTAATTATACTACGGGATACTAAATATGCTAAGATTTCTTACAAACAACAATTTTTCACTGGTGGAAATGGCCTATTAATATCAGTGGTCCATTGATACAATGAAGAACGAATAACTTTAATGAAACAGGCTTCTTGTACCTTCCTCCTTCTTTTTCCCTTCAAGAATCTCTCTTACAAGTACTGCAGGTGGCCATAATGTGATCACCGCTATTTTTTCCCCCAATTTTTAAAAGCATGCAGTTGTTAAAGACTCTGCAAGAATGTAAGTTATAACTTTTCCAGGGGTGGTATTCACATATCTTCGCTACCGGTTCGCAAATGTGAGCGCCCGTGCCACCTCTGTGTATGCACAGGGACATGATTACATCTGGGCTGGTGGGCGGAGCCTCCTGCCGCCACCGCTACCAGTTCTCCCGAACCAGATAGAACCGGCAGAATACCACCACTGAGTCTTTCGTATAATTTACAGGAGCAGAACAAGGAATTTAGATTTGTTTGGCTGATCATAAATAGCCAAATGAAACAGATAACATCTAACGCTTATCAAATCAAGTCAAATCAAGAGAAAGAATTAGTGCACTTTGTTCCTCCAGCTTTGTCAAGTATCTTTCCTAGTATACTTGCCTCTTTTCTGCAGTTGTTAATTCCTATTCTTGGCTATCTTGACTAATTCAAACAGACTCTTAAGCCATTCATTTTAAGCACGAACCATGTTGTTTCGACGTTTTAAAAGTCTACATTCTAGATTGTCCATCTGAATTAGAGAATAATGCAGTCATTTAGGGTTAGCTTTTCAATGTCAGTTTAAATATATCCAATACAAGAAGACTCAGTGCTTTCCTAGATAGCATCATCTGTCACACAGTTAAATTTCTACTGTTCCATCGTGCTGAGAAGTTCTTCCAATTGTGCAACCAGTAAAGATAATCTTGGTTTAAGATAACCTTGTATAGGAGCCATGGTGGTGCAGTGGTTAGAATGCAGTACTGCAGGCAACTTCTGCAGACTGCCGGCTGCCAGCAGTTTGGCAATTCGAGTCTCACCAGGCTCAAAGTTGACTCCGCCTTCCATCCTTCCGAGGTCGGTAAAATGAGGATCCAAATTGTTGGGGGCAATATAGTGACTCTGTAAA